GGTGCTTTATTCCAATTCAGATCAGCCTTTTTATGATACAGATTTCAGTATACATGAAAATAAGTTTCATTACATGCAGAAATTCTGGATCAGTGAGCATAAAGTAATATTAGGGGCTTGTGAATTATAGTTGAAAAAAGTTGATAATTGATTGTTTGATAATTTATCACAAAAATATTCCCACCCACACTGAAATCTATGCCTGTATGTCCAAACAACAGTTATGGCTGAAAACTAAACGAAGGTGGAACTAATTTATCAATAACTTCAAAACAGCAAGAAGAAGCAGTTTTAGTCAGAGGTGATTTTATTAACACATACATGTAATCAAATAACTTTTACAAAGCTATTGGGATATAAGGAATTTGTTTATGAGCTAGCTCTACTAAAATGGTCAAAAATAATAGGAATAGAGTAATTGTAAGTTTGCTGGCTTAGTGGACACAATACGTAATAAGAACTGAAAAATTTAGGGTTTCACTCAGATCTTGCTGGAGCTATTTGACCATACTGATGACAGCAGCCAATCAGAGGAAATAAAAGATGTATCTGCTTTAAATATGCAATTTACAATTCTGTTAGTGTCCAAAAAAAGAGTGGAGGAATTTGAAAACCATGCTTGTGAAGACAAGCACACTCACATTTTTCTTGGGGAAGAATACCCAATTTTTAAATCACAACACAGAACTAATATTAAATATTAATATTGAAACCGCCGTGAGCAACACCTGTCCCCTAGACAAGTGTATTCTGACAGCAAGTTAAATTCCCAGTTACTTTTAGGTTTTCATTTCTTTAGTGAAAGCAGAAATGTCACTACCTGAGCAGTGCTGTTATTTGTAATATTAGTATTTTCTCCAGGAGCTTAAACAGAATTCTTCTTTTCCATAAAGAACATTAGAAATTAAAAAGGAATATGTATTCAAATTTCAGCTTCTATAGATCTGTGGGCAAACGTCTCTGATTCAAAACATCTAATTTAGTAGCACATATAATTAATATAGTACACAAACTCCTATGTACGTTTATATTATAGACTGCTATATACCTGATTTGATTGACAAATAAAAGGATCTATTCACAGCCTGGGAGAGAGTTATAAAACAAGATCCAAACAAGTTCATGAGATGCTAATATTTGTAAACCTTGTAGTTAGTCCAACAGAAAAAAACAGTTCCATTGCATGGTTCATATATGATTTTGTAGTTAAGCATGCACACTGTTGGGATTTGGATTTTTAAGAATGTAAGGTAAATTGAACAATAGCTTATGAACGTAACCTTGAGCTACCCTATCCACTTAGCCCTTCTTCGCCTGAAATTTATAGAATAAAGATATTGTGCTTAGATCCATGAATAAGCACAGCATGTTCAATATGTCCGCTGTTGCATTGACATTTGTTTCAAAATCATTTAATTAAAAGTCATTATTGAGAACAAAGGATTCATTAACAAGCTTCACATCTGAACAATTGATGGAGATGTGTTGTGAATATCAGTTTAATCCAAATTAGAAAACTGCACAGATCTATTGCTGCAAAATATTGACAGACTGCAACTCCCTCGGAATGTGATTAACAGTTTTGTAAAACCAAAAAGTACATTAAAACTTGGCCTTATTATTAAACCTAAGATTGGAATCACCCTTGCCCATTATTAATGTTAAGATATATTATGTCTTTTTAAAGCATACTACCTTGTTCAAGGATATATATATGCTATTAATAAAGTCTGAAATATTAATATTGGGATGATGGCTCTCTTACAAGATATTTTCTTTTTTAAATTTAAAGTATAGTGTTTTCAAGGTGTAAAATAAAATGAATTCTTGATAAATGTTTTTTAGTTCTGTTATGATCAAGGCATTACATTAAAAGGAAATGTGCAGTATTTGCAATAAATCCGGGTGTTCCAATAACCACTGTATTATTTCATTTATTACTGATCTATGAATTCAGTACCTTTTAAGCTATTAAAAACCATCATTTTTTTTTATTCTCTCTCTCTCTCTCTCTCTCTGATATGCACACATACAATTTTAATATCTTGAGATTAGGGTAAAGATTTTGTTGGGTTTATTCACTGCCTATTAGAATAGACAACAAATTACCAGCAATACACAAAACTGTATATGGTAAGCTGTTGGCAATACCCTATTAAATTAAATGCAAAAATTAAATGTAAGAAAAAGTGTTTTGTGTTCATAAGTATCATAACATTCATGAAGTCTACCTCATTACTTCATAAATAGAAAAATTTTACTAAAACATCAGAGAGTCTGTCTTTCTGTACATACAGTACATATAACTCTATGTACTATATTCTTAAGAGATTTATATATGATTTCCCCATCATAAAGTTATATGAAAAAATAAACACACTATAGAACTAAGATATACACAAACCTCACATGCATCTAGTTGACAGTTTATGTTTTTGAAAAATATATATTAACGTTTACTTTCCCTTACACTTGTTTATTGCTGCCTCAATAAAAGTTTCTCTCCCTTGTGTTTTAGTAAAACACGCCCATATTGAAGAACCCACAGATAGAGAAAGTGTATAACTGTTTGCTTGATGAAATTTGTTATTATTACTACAAAATAGAAGAGTCTGAATTAAATAGTAAGATAGGAAACACTTGAACAATACTAGAATACTAAAGCTGAGGACACAGACTTCACTTATTAAAAGCTCATTTAACAACAACAATGACAGAGAGAGGGAAAGAGAACATTGTTTCCTTGATAATTTAAAAAAAAAAAAGAAAGAAATTTAAACTTCTTTTAAAAGGTGTTATTTTTAGGCACATTCTCACAAAAATTGATTTTGAACATCCAGGCTGCATTATGATTTTAAAATACATAGTTTATCCATAATGAAAGAACATGTTTGTAATGATGTTTGTAATAATAGTGTTTGTTAATTAACTTTTTTACAACTATAAGCAAGGATCGTAGTATAATATTTCCTGTTCTGCATGAAGCATTTGCAGTTCAACATTCCCAATCATACTGGAAAGAAAACAAACTCATGCATTTTTTTTTACTCAAAACTTCATGATTTATTTATGCTGCATTTTCCTGACATAAACTTTGTGTAAATAATGGACATATAAACAAACTCTGGCATTAGTAATTTGTACATTATGAAGTTCAAACATGAGAAATAATGACCTACTACAAGAGAAAATAATCTATGTTTGTATGCACGAATTTGCCTCAGGTCCTACAATTATAAACATATAAATCAAAAACATGAACTGAAATAAAAAGCATCTAACAATCACTTGATTCTCTACAATATTAAGTAGTGATGAATTTTTAGCTCCCTTTTAAAAATACACATGCAAGACACACTAATGGCATAGCATTTACGTTAATTATCTGTATTTTACAGATTATAGTTCCTGATAAAATATGCACCTAGTGAAAGTATTGACACCCCCCCCTCCCCGGAAGCAATGCCAGCTTACTGAAAACTATCCATAGAGAAACTTTTATTAAAATAAGGAACAGTGCTCAAAACCCCCCAAACCTTTGAACAAGCAAGATTAATTAAATCTTCTCTACAAACATTTTAGAGTATCTTCCTCTGAACATGTCAGCCACTTTAATGGCTCATTTCAATAATATACGTACATACAGTACTAAAGTCTGATTAAAGTTTTAAATATGAATCTAAATATACTACCATAAAGTATTAGTCCCATTGACAAAAAGCTGATTCACAAAATAGCTGATCACTCGCTCTCTTTTCCTGAGTAACTACTCTTTTTAAATTAACATGATAGCTCAAACTGCAGTAGCTCAACAAGTAGCAAAGACAGAAAAACTCTCCTCTGCATTGAAAATTAACAGAAATGATCACAAGCAGCAAACACAATTTAAATTAAATACTCCCTTAATATATGACACCCTTATTGATGGCTCATAGAAAACCTCCAGCATTAGAAAAAAGAATAAAGTCCTTGCAAAGTAGTGTAGAAGGCAGTAATAATCAGACAGCTTCCTTCTGTCCAGGCACTGGGATGTGCTATCCACTGGTGCTCCCCATACCCACCGGCCAAGAATAAAGTGCCTATTGTCTCAGCACTGTACTAATTGTGAAAAAAACAGCCCATGCAGTAAGCATAATAATTATCCAGACAAACAAGCAAAGGCAATCAAGGAAAGAATGAAAAGGGTAAAAATACATGACCAGACAAAGCAACCCAAGAATGAAATTAATATTCATAATGGAATGTTAGCCAGCAGAAGGTCCCCATTCATGGCATAGCTTTTCATACAAGAGACCTTTTGTCTACAAAAATCAGTATATGAAGAAAACTTCATGTAGCACTGGTGAGAAGAAAAGCTTTTCTTTCCAAAATACTTGCTCCTGGCCATAGTATTTTGACCTAAGTAAAATTTGACTCCTTTACCCGGTCGCAATAAAAAGTTGTCTGTCAGGGTCCACTCCTCCCTGGGTGCTTTCTCTCTCTCTCTCTCTCTTTTTTTACCCTTCATTTGCAGCTGTATAAATATGAACAAAAAAGCCACGCTTGCCCACACAAAGAAAAAAATGGACTGAATATGCATAGCCTCATTAACTAAATTTAATTATGCCAAGCGGCATATTAATCAGTAGTTGCTCCAGTTACTGTATTCATTGTAAGGGAGGAGGACTCCAAATTAAGGGGAAGCGTGGGGGACAAATGCATACTGATTAGGAAGCTGCTCACAATGTGATACAATACACTTTCTAAATAATTATTCAGAGGAAACAGAATAAAGAGGCAGATTTTTCTGTTTTAAGACCAACTCAAGAACAATTAGCCAAGAACATGATGACATAGCTGCTTTCTTTTTCTGTGATTGCTTCTACCTCCACATTCTCACACCAACCAGCTTGGTGCACACTGTAAAATTTGCATTTTTCTTCTTTAAAAAAAAAAAAAAGGAAAATCTCATGCTGCCCTTGCTGCCTTTTTAAAGAGAAGGCCCATACCCCCGCCACAATAGAAAAGAAATCCTATCTAATGCACTGTGAAGTTTAGGGATTCCACAGAGTCACTGAACTTGTGTTTGAAACTTTTGCACAGACTCTGAACTTTATAACACGTGCATTGCAACAATGAAGGAGGAGTTCAGAAAAGGGAAAAAAAATCTTTCGGGGAGAAAAAAACGTTTTCACGCCAACTTACCATCCACCAGGTCCTGGCTGACATGTCATAACATAGCTGCCATTTTATGGAGCTGTCCGACGCTTTCCCTGCCATTACGCTGTCAGCAACCTTCATCAGATGCAGCTCAATGGAAGATAAGACACCTAATCAAGAAAACATCAGCAGTGCCTTGCTGGGCTACATGTAGGCCAATCCTTATCACACTGCATCATGGGAAAAGCTCCTTTATTAGCAAGAACTCCAACCTCACAGATATAAAGACAAGGATCAGGTTGGTTTCAGTTTTTTTTTTTTGTCTGAAGGGATTGGTGAAACTAGCTAGCATTCTTTGTGTATCATGTGTACAAGAGTTTAGTATCTTGCAAGTGGGCGGCTAACTGCTTTGCTGGGCTAGGCAGACTAAAGTTTATTTGCATTCTTCTGTGTTGTATATTGTTTGACATGGTCCGTGGTCAGCTCTGAGCAGATGGGGGTGGGTATAATTGTTCAGAATTAATATCTCCCCAACAAAGACGTAACAGTTTCATTGACACAATCAGGGCATGGTTCAGATGTCACTGCGCTCGCGCGCACACACACACTCACAGAGAGGAACACACAGGTAGCAGCTGCAGCTGGATTCAGCTGTGGTTGCCAAGGGCTACACACTCTATTCTCATACTGGACATATGGAAACAGTTTAACTCTTTGCAATCAGAGTTTAACAAGAAATCAGCAGACTGGGAGGGTAAGTCAGCAGGAAGAACGGGGGTGTGGCCTGGATTTCAGTGCTAGAGATAGAAGGTGATAAGGTGGGAAAAGCTCGCTGCCCTCCCCCTTGATTCTGCATGAGTTAGCCAGGACAGATATGGGGAGGAGCAGGGCCGGCTCCAGCATTTCTGCTGCCCCAAGCAAAAAAAAAAAAAAGCCACGATCGCGATCGGCGGCGACAATTGGGAAAAAAGACCGCGATCGGCGGCAGCAGTTCAGCAGCAGGTCCTTCGCTTCTAGAGGGAGTGAGGGACCTGCCGCCCCCGAATTGCCGCAGATGCCGCCCCTCTCCCTTGGCCGCCCCAAGCACCTGCTTGTTAAGCTGGTGCCTGGAGCCGGCCCTGGGGAGGAGAAGGGTTTTGTTCCCTCTTCCCTCCCACACCACAGCTTCTGATGATCTGTCTATTGTACCTGTCACTTGCAGAAAGAGACTGACATTTTTCAAGCAAGATTTCTTCTCTAGAGATGCTACGACTTCTCTCTGCCTATTTAAAGCACCAAGAGGTTCTTCGATGAAAGGGGATATAAAAGAGCTACCAATTCTGAAATTACTTCACATTGTTGAAATACAAAAGCACATATGTACAAAAAGACAGACATGAAACCAAACTCACCTATGCGAAAAACTTACATTACAGGGGATACACAAAGCAAATGGGTTTTTGCCACGTCCCTGTCTTTATGAATCAAAGTTGGTTTTGCACCTATATTGTCAACTGGAATAAATTGCCATGGGAGATTGTGGAATCTCCATCATTGGAGATTTTTAAGTGCAGATTAGACAAACACCTGTCAGGGATGGTCTAGATCAGGGGTAGGCAAACTTTTTGGCCCGAGGGCCACATCTGGGTATGAAAATTGTATGGCAGGCCATGAATGCTCACAAAATTGGGGGTTGGCGTGTGGGAGTGGGTGAGGGCTCTCGCTGGAGGTGCGGGCTCTGGAGTAGAGCCATAAATGAGGAATTCAGGGTGCGGGAGGGGGCTCCGGGCTGGGGCAGGGGGTTGGGGTGCGGCTCCAGCTGGGGGTGCGGGCTCTGGGGTAGGGCTGGGGATAAGGGATTGGGGGGTGCAGGAGGGTGCTCCGGGCTGGGACTGAGGAGTTCAGAGGGTGGGAGGGGAATCAGGGCGGGGGCAGGGGGTTGGGGTGCAGGAGGGGGTCAGGTTCTGGTTGGCACTTACCTCAAGCAGCTCCTGGAAGCAGCGGCATGTCCCACCTCTGGCTCCTACGTGGAGGCGCGGCCAGGCAGCTCCCATTGGCCGCAGTTCCAGGCCAATGTGAGCTGAGGAGGCGGTGCTTGGGGCGGATGCCCCTATGTGTAGGAGCCAGAGGGGGGACATGCCACTGCTTCCAGGAGCTGCGCAGAGCCACAGCATGCGCGGAGCAGGGCAAGCCCTGGATCCTGGTCCCCGGTGAGAACACGAGGGCTGGCTTAAAACATCTGAAGGGCCAGATGTGGACCCCGGGCTGTAGTTTGCCCACCCCTGGTCTAGATAATACTTAGTCCCTGCCTTGAGTACAGGGGACTGGACTAGAAGACCTCCTGAGGTCCTTTCCAGTCCTATGATTCTAGAACCCTAAAAATGGTCTCAGTTTAACTGCAGATCCTTCTTTAGATAAAAGCCACATTTCAGGAATAATTTTTAAAATACAGTATAGAATAAAATAAAAATAAAACCCAAATCATTCTTAAGATAACATCAACATATACATAGGTTGTGTTTTCAGTTGATATTGCGCATTTCAATGTTGCACATGCAGAACATTTTGGTCCGTAAATTTTACAGTTGAAAAGCTGCTGCAGCTGACGAACTCCTGAGGGCATTATTTATATTTACCATGCACTATGAGTAACAACACTAGGCTGTGGGAGTACAGGAGATACCCTGGTTGTATGAAAACAGCATACACATTGGAGGTTTTCATAACTGAAACTCATCTTTTTCATGGGACATGTTTGCTTTTATTTCCTCTCTCTTTTTGCTTATTCTTCTATAAAAGTTGCTACCATGGATAAGCTGTCTCTCCACTGGGAGAGCAAGGGAACAGCTGCCACTGCAGTTTAATGCTCACATAGTTCTTTGGTTGATAAACAGGAGGTACCCATGTGTGCAGAAGCTGCACATAACACCTTTGATTGTCTAGTGACCCAGTAGACGCATCTGGCACAAACTTATCACCTTCAGCACACTGCAGTCTACAAGAACCAGTGGGGACACAACATAGCTGTTGGTTTTACTATGCATTGGTTTTGAAACAGTCACCGGTCTTAAAATGGCAATGGTTCAAATTGATTTCTGATCTGAACTAGAATTACCACATCATGAAAAAAATTGTCCCAAAGCCAAGTTCATCAAAATGTTACAATTATTCCATCTTCGCAATGTTTTCTGCTGTATATACCTGAGGTCAATTCACACCACCAGTTTTCTGCTTTGCAATATACCATCGTGAGGAGTTTCCATAAGGGGGGGGACCTGTTGCAGCCAGAAGGATGTGGACACCACCAAAAGAAGATGGCCAACAATCAGAGAGTGCAGGCTCTAGAGTATACCAGGTTAGTCAAAGACCTACTGGCCCTGGAGACAAGCATTCCTGTGAGGATCCAGCCATTAGAGACACACCAAAAGGAGAGGATTAATGGAGTTGTAAGTGGTGCAGTGGCACCCAGCTTATACAAGGTGACTACACAAGTGGGACAAGTGATCCAAAGGAACAGGAAATACAACGCCCAGAGAGAGAGAGTACAGAGATAATCATAGAATGGAGACACAGAAAACCATCCAGAGGCCAACTCCATAGGAAGGGAGAAGACTCCTCAGAGAGATGTTTGCTGCAACTTGGAGACAGGTGACAGGAAGAAAGAGATAGGTCACTCCTGAGGTGGTTGTTTGTTGAGGAAGCCAAACTATCTCAGAGACCATGTAACCAGCTGAGTCTGTGTTAAAGACAAGATTCCAAATTGGTTATGTGCTAGCAACATCTGGCCAAAGGGACTCGTGTGTTTAATTGTTTGTGTTTAATGTTTATATTAACATGTTTTTAAAATGGGGAAGAGGTAACATGATCAGTGAGGCTGAAGTTAGATGGCCCATGTTCCATGGAGGGAATATTATTGAAGAGACACCAGAAAAAACAGGGAACAAGGGGAGTTAGGCTAGAAGCAACTCAGTCACATGGACAGAACAGTTCACAGGGTTTAATAAAGTTCCACTTTTTCAATTTAAGCTGCATTCAGCTTCACTCTTGGCAAATGAAACAAACGGGAGTATAACAAATCTCTGATGCCTAAAAGGAACTTTACCTCTATCAATCACAAACAGGCTCAATTCCAGCCACAGCTTCTAAGTCTCAAAGTAAGTAACCTCCTTCCCTTTGGGCTGTGGCTAATACTTAGCCTAAGTCTATACTACCCGCCTGAATCGGCGGGTAGAAATCGACCTCTCGGGGATCGATTTATCGCGTCCCATCGGGACGCGACAAACGATCCCCCAATCGGCGCTCTTACTCCACCAGCGGAGGTGGTAGTAAGCGCCGCCGACAGAGAGCGGCAGAAGTCGATTTTGCCGCCGTCCTCACAACGGGGTAAGTCGGCTGCGATACGCCGAATTCAGCTACGCTATTCATGTAGCTGAATTTGCGTATCTTAAATCGACTCCCCCCTGTAGTGTAGATGTACCCTTAGGTGTGATGCAGGCTCATAGGAACCATGCATTCAGACTGCTCCCTGGGCTAGTCTCCCAGCTCTGTACTCAGACTGTCAGCATGCTGTGTCCCTGTAGAACCAGGGCATCATGTGCCTTTTCTTGCAGCCCGTGCGCTCATCCCATCCTCCAATCAGAGGGCGGAAACAGGAAACATGGGTGGAGAAAACATCTTCTCCAGTCTGCCAATCAGAGCTGTAAGGGCAGGATCAATCTTCATAGTATTGCTGCTGTCCTGTGGAGTGTGAACTCCACACCATCTGCAATAAAAAGCTTGTCCTATTACCTCCAGTGCCCAGGGGAGAATAAAGGTGTGTCTAGTTTTGCCCCTTGACAGCTGTCCAGGGTAACGATAAGGACCCTGTAACCCAGAGTTGGCCTTCCTGATCCTCTAACGTGGATTACAGCTGAAGGATATGTCCTCAAATGCCCATGGACACAGTGTCTAGTCTGCAGCAACTCAGAACTTACTAATTCCTCTTCCACCAACATTTAGGTTCACCTTGAGTTCATCAGGCAAGTCACTACTCTAACTGCATGGGCATTGTGCCTTCCTATGGGGTTCTGGACCCCGGGACCTCAGAAAGACATCTGCATTAGTCAAGTATCAGAGGGGTTGCCATGTTAGTGTGTATCCACAAAAACAACAAGGAGTCCAGTGGCACCTTAAAGACTAACAGATTTATTTGGGCATAAGCTTTCATGGGTAAAAAAAAAACCACTTCTTCAGATGGGGTTTTTTACCCACGAAAGCTTATGCCCAAATAAATGTTAGTCTTTAAGATGCCACTGGACTCCCTATTGTATCTGCCTTAGT